TATACACATGGCTCCCTCTGGGACTCGCCGTACTCCCCTGTTCGTGCAGGTCCCCCCCAAAAAAACAGCAAACAAAATTAACCGCCAATGTACAACTGAGCATGGGAGTCTATATGTGCGCTTGAATGTTTATACATTGATTTTATTCAGTGCAGGATTGCTCATGCGCACAACAATGGAAGTTTGTAAAATAAAAAAATCCGAAGAGCTCCTGGAAGGCATGAGAGGAAGAGGAGCAGGGAGGGCAAAGGGATATTATTATAAGCCCCCCTCCCAAACCAGATCTCTCCGGCTTGGTGTCGTGGTTCAGAGCAGTGGGCTCTAATCTGGAGAACCCACTTTTCCTCCACATGAAGCCTGCTGGGTGACCTTGGGCCAGTCACTGTTCTCTCAGAGCTCTCTCAGCCCCACCAGCCTCACAAGGTGTCTGCTGTGGGGAGAGAGAGGAAGGGAAGGCGACTGGAAGCCGCTCTGAGACTCCTTCGGGTAGTGAAGAGCAGGGTATAAAACCAACTCTTCTTCTCCTCCCAAGAGACAAAGTAAACAAAACTTGGGAGACTTTTTTGATGAGGTTAAAAGCGACTGGGAGCAGCAGCAGCATCCACACAGTTCTTGAGATGGAGGATTACCATTTTCACCTGGCACCATTTCTCCAAGCCCACAGATTTTCTCCGTGAGCTGCTGTGGGCCCCCTCCAGGGGAAAACATAACGCAGGTACTTGTAAATTGGGGGGGGGAGCACCTGCAGGATTACCATCCTCCCCAAACACTGCGCCTCTTTCGTCTCTCCCTCCCCTTCTTGTACTCAGCAACCGTTCATGCAGAACATGAATGACAACCCTGGATCACCCAGGGGGCGGAGCACACACTGTGCTGAAGAAACAAAAAAGTCCCTCAGGGAACCCAGATCCTGCGGCCTCCTCTGGGCTATGCAGATCAAGTATATTAGCATAGCCTCATCTGCATAACCGGTTCTGCTTCTTGGTTGGACTTCCAACTGTGCAGGCTGCCAAAGTCCAGTCCCACCTCTCCTGATCACAGCACCTACTCTGTCTATGCATTTTTTTTAATATTTGTTTTTATTAATTTTTAACAGCGTAAACACAGCAAAATTAAACACAAAGAGCAATTACCAGCTCAATTCAACAGCTTTTCTTACATAACTCCCACAGTATTACAGTAAAGTCAAACATTTGTATATACTGAGTACCAAACAGTTAAAAAAACAACAGCTTCTTGTATAGCGGGTTTTTTGGAACTGTTTCACTATTTTCTAAATAACTAATAATAGGAAACCATACTGCCTGAAACCACTTTTGGTATTTTTTCGATTTCACGGCTGAAGAGTTGTAAGAGGTGCGCCCATAAATAAAGCATTCCCAGATTTTGTTCTGCCAGCATGTTATTGTCGGAACACTTTTTTGCTTCCATTTTTGTGCAATTGTTAATTTTGCCAACATCAGTAAGGTCGATACTAATGTTTCCAAACTTTTCCTACTCACAGTTGTACGCCATGTTTCCAGAAAAATAGATTCCAAAGTGCAGGGTAACAGACATCCTGTGAGAGCTAGAAGCTTGATTTTGGTTCCAAATGGAACCTGCTATCTTAATGATATTAACCATGGCTATTCATAGGAGTTTGGATGAACCTTATTCTCGTTTCTTTTTTTTAAATTACTGTTAACAGATGTGTTACTTTTTGTTTTTCCCCTATGCATTAACACAGTTCCATAACCCCTTTCAGCACCGATTATTTTACGATCATGCTCATCCCACACTGTGAAAGTTTTTTTTAAATCTATTTATTTAGAAATATTTAATTTTTAAAGAAGAAAGAAAACTCAGGTCATCGGGATGGTCAGTTCAGGACCCGAGGCTGAATTCTCTCTTCTTGTCCTTGGGCTAAAGGCCAAACCTCCCCCCCCCCAGCTTACCGTATCTCCCATTTCCATAGTCTCCTCCCAGGCCGGTTGTCTCTGGTTGCTGTGGTTGTCCGTTGTAGGAGAGCTGTCCTGCCCCTGTGACAGAAATGAGAATCAGACCAAGAGCGGATAGTTGGGAAAGGAGAGGATCCCCTAGGGCAGGGGGCTTCAACCTCAGGGCCCCCAGGTGGGCTGCAGAACCCCATTTGTGGGGACACAAATGTTGGAAGTGGAGGAGTGTATGCTGTCCCGTGCCTCAGCCTTCAGAGACAGCACCATAGGTTTTGAGACAGATAGAGAGGCCAGGACACACACCGAGCATCCTTTCCTTCCTGCTCCCTGATACTATCCTTTGAAGTAGAATGCTATTCTGAGGGACAAGACCTCCTTCCTTCCGGCTGGACACTTTCCGTCTCACACGCACACAAAGAAGCAGGAGCTGGAACTAGAGACGGGAGCTCACTCCGTCATGCGGCACACTCGGGTCTCGAACTGCTGAACTACCGACCTTCCATAGCCTGCAGTTCAGCGTCTTAACCACTTCAGCCACCGCAGCTCCTTAGCTTCGTATAGATCGGTACAAAACCAATATGAGCTTGGAAGAGGAGTTGTGGCCGGGCAACGTCAAGGTTGAGTTCTCCCTGAGGTTTTCTAAGCAGTGCTGTTGGTATATTTTTTTCCTCCCCCGGAGCCAAATAAAACCGAAGCCCTTTGCAAGTCGGCTCCTTTCAAAGCCTCAGGAAACTTTGTTTACCGGAAAGTCACGTACAAACCCTACGGGGAGCCACTGTTTCCCTAAAGAGCCAGGAAGACTTACCTCCGTATTTGGCAGCGCTGGGATCTCCTGCAGGGCCTCCTAACTGACCCCCATATGGAGCTTGGGCACCTGCGGATGAGATACGACCATAGTCACAAACACACAGCTTTTCCTCAGGAGACCTAGAGAGGCTTAAGATGCGGGCGAGCAAAAGTTGCAGCTACTCAGTGGGAAAGCAAGGGCACTCAACATATGCTCGGAGGCGCTCTTTCTATCTGTACTTCACATCTTGCAGGGATGACTCTCAGAGGTATTGAAGAAGAAGAAGAGAAGAAGAGATTGGATTTATACCCCGCCCTTCACTTGGAGTCTCAGAGCGGCTCACAAACTCCTTTCCCTTCCCCTCCCCACAACAGACACCCTGTGAGGTAGGCGGGGCTGAGAGAGCTCTTGACACAAACTGCTCTTTCAGGAACAGCTGTGCCAGAGCTTGTGACTGACCCAAGGTCACAACCGCAGGTGCCAGTGGAGGAGTGGGGAATCAAACCCGGTTCTCCCAGATTAGAGTCCGCGCACTTAGCCACTACACCAGACTGGCTCACAGTAAGTTCGGAACCGAGCTCAGAGGAGATGTGGTTTTAAAACCCAGAAGATCTCCGGTTCGATCCCAGACATCTCCAGTTAAAAACTCTCTGACAGCAGCTGTTGGGAAAAGCCTTCCTGAGACCCTGGAAGAGCTGCTGCCAGTCAGAGCAGGCAATTCTGATGGAGATGGATCGATGACAGGACTTGGGAAAAGGAAGAATATGACCACATGGTCCTAATGAAGCCTTGAAGCCTTTCTTCTCTATCTCCGCCCCCATGCTGATAAGCCTCTCCTTCCCTGAACCCCTCCCACCTTTATTGCTAGGAACAGATGGTGAGGAGCACCTCCAGGTGGGGCCTGGAGTGCTCCTGAAATTACAACGGATCTGCAATACATACTACAGATAACGGTTCCCCTGGAGAAAAATGACACTATCAGAAAGTAGCCTCTATGGCTTCACATTCCCACTGAGTTCCCTTCCCTTATAGGATCTTCTATCTTCCTTGGATAAGCAATGAACAGAATCAACCACTTACCATTCCCATATCCGCCTGGCTGCAGCCCAGTAGTAGGAAACCCGTTGCCTCCGGCTCCATAGCCTGTGGGGAGGAAAAAACAACATCAGGTCTTGGGGCTTTTCTTAGGGCCCAGCTGGACACTGAATCCGGCAGGGTGAAACCTCCACCTGTTTCCTCTGTGAAGCAGGGGGAATGCAGGGAAAAAGAGGCGACCTCCCGGTTTCTCAATATGTTGACCAACAGCGCCCCCTTGTGGATTTCTCTTTTTATTGCCGCAAAGATGCACAACTGTGATTCCTAGCTGTATTCTTGCTGTCTTTGCTTAACATAAGGACATAAGAGAAGCCAATGTTGGATCAGGCCAATAAGCCATCCAGTCCAACACTCTGTCACACAGTGGCCAAAAATACCAGGTGCCATCAGGCGGCCCCACACTGGGGCTACTAGCTGCAGATGCATGCCTACAACACTATCACCTGGGCAAGTTTTGTGAACATCATACCAGATGGGATACTGATTCAATGTTCCGGTTATGGAGCAAGGGTGACTTCTGCCAATTCTTCCTGCTATCAGAGATGAAACCAAGTCTGCAGACTCTGGGAAGGGGGAGGCAGCTGTGAAAAATCAAGGGCCGCTGCAGACACAAGAAGTCACTCGATATCGAGTCAGACCATCAGCCTACCTAATTCAGCCCCATCAACTTGAATAGCCTGACATTCATTGGCTGGAGGAATCTTCTGTGTACACTGCGTGTGTGCTATCACTGAGCAAAGCCCCCTGGTCGGAACAGCAGGCGTACACAGCTGTGCCAGAGCAGACCACGACCTGCCTCACTAGCTACACCAGGGGCCACATTCAGAAGTCACAAGCAGCCTCTATCTGTTGTCGACAGGCATGAGTGCAGCTCAATCAGCTGGGCTCACACACTCCCTCCTGTTCCCTCACACCCACGCAGCACGACTAAAAACTTCCTGGTTTGGAAAGACTTTGATTATCTGGCTCCAATCTGCCGAGATGCCCAAGTGGGCAGGAGTTTGATTCTCCTCAACAAAACCCTTGGACGAAACCCTGCCAGTTTTGTGGCAGGGCAACAGGCCCCGAATTGCCCTGGCGCCTGCCTTTTGATGTTATGGCAAATCTAACTTGGGATGAAGGCTTCCCAAACTGGGCAAAGGGCGGAGTGAGAGAGGAGGGAGGGTGGGAGGCTTGCTGTGACATTGGCCTGCAGATGGTGACTCCTGCTGGGCCTGTCCAAAGGCAAATTTGGTTCGCTGCCCTCACCGTTGCCGTAGCCATTCTGGAGTCCGTTGCTCAGGTAGCCTCCAGTGCCAACTCCACCTGGATAGGCTTTTGAACAAAAAGAAAACAGAGGAAAAGGTACTTCTCTTCGTTCCCACTGCCTCTGCAAGGCTTGAGTTGATTCGGAGCTCAGAATCAGCATTACCACCCAACTGAGAAAACAGGCGACAAGGAATTTACTCCAAGGAATCTGACAATATGTCGTGGGGAACTGCCTTGTTCCTGGAAACCATTCAAATTACGAACAGTAGACCGAGATCATGCCAAGTTTGTGTGCCGATTTTGCTATCGTGAAGTCTGCATTCCTTGGACGAGGCAACCTAACGGCAGCTGCTGTGTTGGTGCACGTTTGTGGATTGCTGGGACCGAATGGGGCTTGTTTTTAAAAACGGAAGGGCCGTTTCCAAAATGGCACCTTGGCTCCTGACTTGAGCAGAAAGAAAGAGCCGAATATGGCCACAGGGCAGGGCCCATGTGCAGAAAGAAAGCAAATCAGAAGGGAGGGGAGCACGGGACAGCTGCCCAGGCAATATGCCGCCCGCCCCACTCTGCCCTGGCTCTAAAATTCCCAGGCACCTGTGCAAAGCAAGAAACAAAAACCCACCAGCCATTCAGACCATTTCGAACTCAGGAAGCAGGCTTCATTCTAGCATTTAGCTGCAAAAAGCAGCTGGTGTTTGTGTGTGTGGGTAGATGATATGGATAGGGCTCTTTTTGTAGAAAAAACCCAGCAGGAACTCATTAGCATAATAGGCCACACCCAACAGCTGAAACTAATTAGCATATTAGGCCACGCCCCCTGCCAGCACAGCTCATTAGCATATTAGGCCGCAGCCCCATGTTGCCAGAAGTGTGGTCATCCAGCCACACCCACCTTTTGCTTCTTATTCTGTTTACCTTGTTTGTTGTTGTCAAAACCCAGGGCTTTTTTTGTAGCAGGAACTCCTTTGCATGTTAGGCCACACCCCCCTAATGTAGCCAATCCAAATGAGTTTATGCTGTTGGGTGTGGCCTATTATGCTAATGGGTTGCATATTAAGCAACACACCCCTAATGTAGCCAATCATCCAAGAGCTTACAGTAGCCCCTGTAAGAAGAGCTCTTTAAGCTCTTGGAGGATTGGCTACATTAGGGGGGGGGTGGCCTAATATGCAAAGGAGTTCCTGCTACAAAAAGAGCCTCCCCAAATCTCCAGGTATTTCCCAACCTGAAGCTGGCAACCCCAGCTGACAGACAGGCCCTTTATCAGCAGGGATGGCTGCTGGATCCGACGCCAGGACCCACTTTACACAAGAGCTACGCCGCAGTCGTGCCTCCCTTTGCCCCGCTTCTATTGGTCAATTTCCCACTCGAAGCTGCGCGACCGCATTTTGATCCGCGGCTTCACCCGATTTCACCCGCGGTTTTGTGATCCTCAGAAAACAGGATCACGAAACTGCGGGGGAAATCGAGCAAAGCCGTGGGTCAAAATGCGGCCGCGCCGCTTCGAGTGGGAAACTGACCGACAGAAGCGGGGCAAAGGAAGGTGTGACCGTGGCTCAGCTCTTGTGTGAATTCGGTCCAGGTGTCGCTCGGCCCTGAGAAACCATGGTTAAGAAGAGGGCGAGGGAGGCAGAGAGAGGAATAGTTTTGGCTGTGATTAGTTGAAATTAGGAAAGCAACCTTGGGGGACGCTCACGCTGCTCTCTGTCTGCCCTGGAGGAGTGCCTCTTTTTGTCTCCACTTATGCTCAGATAAACACTGGAATGGCACCTTAGACCTCCAGGGCCCTCTCTCACCAGACAGAAACTGAACTTGGATGTTCCTAGGACTTCTCAAGGAAGCAGGGCGGAACAACAGTAAAGAAGAGGGTTGCTTTCAATGTTCCCTCTAAGCTGTGGAGTCCTGTGAGCAAAAATTCTACTTTGTGAGCCACTGGCATTAAAGTTGTGAGCAGGTGATTTGGCCACTGCATAAATTAGTTTGCTCTGGAGCCATCCTTCCCGAGCGAAGACAAAAATGTGTGAGCCAGAGGCTAAAAAACTGTGAGCTAGCTCACACTAACTCATCTTAGAGGGAACACTGGTTGCTTTCCTTCATCGATAAGGAAACACATCTTGCCCCGAGCCTCTGGAGTCACGAGGTTCTAGGTCAGAGGATGGGTAAAAGGCTAGGCTGAACCTCCACAGAGCCTCTCTTAGGCATCTCTTAGGTGTTTAGAGAGATATAAGTAAGTCATTGATAAGGAAGCACATCTTGCCCCGAGCCTTTGGAGTCACGAGGTTCTAGGTCAGAGGATGGGTAAAAGGCTAGGCTGAACCTCCATAGGGCCTCTCTTAGGAGAGGCTCCCCAAAGGAAAGGTCCCAGCAACCCAGTCCCCATCTGTTTTCCAGCCGCCCCTCCAACCCGTACCCTGTGGTGCACCGGCTCCTGGGTAGGCACTGGGCCCCGCCCCATAACCTGCAGAGGAAAAGAGAGAAGAAGAAGAAATCATTTTCCAGGAACCAATCAGGTGGTCAGTGATCTCGAGCTGCCAAAGGACATTGCCCGGAGCCGTGTCGGAGGCAAGAGTCTTCCAGGGGTCAGGTAGAGACAACGCAAGGTACAAGCACAGCTGATACGGAAGGATTTCCAAGTTACCACCCTGGCTGTTTCCAGTTTCACTTTGCTGTTGTGCAAATTGCCCCCGTGGTTGCATTTCATGCCACTTTCTGCCCCCTTGCTCCCAATTGCCCTGTGCATCTGTCAAGATCATCTGTGTGTCAAAAGCAGGTATTGAACCTTGCAGGCACATATCAATAGATGTCATTATTTGCTGTCTTCCTTTCCCTCCTGTGCTCTTCCCCCTGCTGGTGAGTGTTGTATTGCAGGTATAAGAGAAAATGGTGTTTTGAAGAGTCAGACTCGACTGTGCGACTCAACAACAACAACAACAAATTGACTCGCTCTGAGTTGTAACGTTTTGTGCCTACAATTTTAAAATGCATATAGATTGTGGTATGAAATGATTCACATCGATGCTGCACACCTCAGAATCTCTCTCTAAAGTTGCCCGTATCTTTTCGTTGTTGTCCAGACCTTTTAAAAATATTTCTGGAGTTTAGAGACATATAAGTAAGACTCTCCTTCTCCCCTTTTCTGATATGTAAATTCTGTAATTTTTTTCTGGGGGGGGAATATTTTATTAAAGTTTAAAAATGCTTAAAGGGGGGGGCAGGTGTTGAACACTGCACGCACGTATCAATATGTAATTATTTACCCTGACCTGGATAGTCCGGGCTAGCTCAATCGTATCCGATCTCGGAAGCTAAGCAGGGTCGGCCCTGGCTGGTATTTGGATGGGAGACCTCCAAGGAATACCAGGGGCGTGACGCAGAGGCAGGCAATGGCAAACCACCTCTGAAGCATCTCTCACCTTAAAAAACAAGCCTAGCTCACCACGTAATGGTGCATAACACTAAAAAGCTAGAACTTCTGACTCCCAGACAATCTTAGGATCTCCTGGCTATCCTATACACACTGCCATATGGAAAGTTAATTGGTACCTTCTCTGTCTGCCTTTAGGTTGAACACAGGTCATTTTGATTTTTTTTTACTATAATAATTAATCATAATCGTATGGCATTGTGTGTCGTATATCCAGGAGGTCCTATGATTGCCTGACAGTCTAAAGTTCTAGTTCTTTTCATGTTAGGCACCACTAGGTGGTGAGCTAGACTTATTTTTTGGGCTGAGAGAGCTCTGAAAGGGCTGCGAGTGACCCAAGGTCACCCAACTGGCTTCATGGGGAAGAGTGCGGAATCGAACCCGGTTCTCCAGGTTAGAGTCCATCGCTCTTAACCTCTGCACCATGCCGGCTCTCTTGGAAGGAAGAAGGGGGGAGGCAGGGGGGGCCTGCAAAAGATTATCCCGTCAGTTGGGGGGGAGAAG